GGTACACAAGGAAATAGACAATTTAAACAGGCTCATCATATATGTTGGCATTGCCTATAAGATTTGATTTAATCAGAACCATTCTCTCAGCCTGTGATAAAGTCTGTGTTCGGCCTCAACGGGGTGTCAAAGAGCTTACTTGCATGGCATTCCTATCAATCTGGGTCTCAGAGGCCTAATTAAAAAGGCCCAGATGCAGACCACAAGTGTGATTTTCTTAAATTGAATGTGGGGTGGGTGTGGGTCAGCATTCAAACATGGTGATTGGTGGACCATGATCCGATGCCAGCAGGAGGGCCCAGAACTCGCCATCAAAACTATTAGTTTAAGGGTAGGAGTCCTTGTGGCCAAAAGTTATAATGGACAATCTCATCTAATGATATTCGAGTTTCATCTTTGTATTTAAAAAAAGTTTAAAAGAGAGTAATTAGAAATAGTATTTTTATATGTTATTTAATAAAAAAATATATTTAATATTATAAATTTTAAATAAATAAAAAATTAATTATGTATTTAATAAGTAAAATTATTAAAAAAAATATAAAAATTTATTCTTGAATTATTCTCCTTATCTTAAGTTTAGGACTTAGGTTAGGTCCCTACTCTCATGGTTTCCTCGTCAAAGAAAAAGTTAGGTCCCCACTCTCAGGGTTTCCTTATCATAAAAACACTAGCATTTGAAGGTGTGGTAATGGCACTTACAATTGTTAGGTAGATATAAATTTAGTTTTTTTTTAAATAAATAGTCATAGCATTTAAAAATATTATTTTTAAATTAATTTTGATTTGTTAATTAACAATAATTATAAATAAACAAATTTACTCACACATAAATTTTATATATTATAAAAAATCTCTTTACATTTAAATATCTATTGTATAGAACTCAAAATTCTCAAAATTAAGAACTTTATTTTCTTGCAGTAGCCCTTAAGGAAATAAAGTAGCATATAAGCCTCTAAATGCCTGAATTTGATCAAATTAGTCATTGTATTAATGGTGAGATCATATGCAATCACATAAGTTAAACAATAATTTTCTTTTTTCACTTGTGTGACAACTCCTTCACACTTAAACATTAATGTAACAATTTATTTACACTTAAATGTCTATAACATATAACTCAAAATACTCAAAACTAAGAGCTAAAAATTGAGTCTCGTACCATATCATAATCTAAATGCAAGTGAAAAAAAACAAATAACTATTTAATTCACATGACAACATGTGATTTTGCCATCCACAGAAGGCTAATTTGTTCAAATTCAAGCATTCAAGAGCTTATATGCCACTTTTTTTTTTTTCTATGAGAGCTTATGTGAAAAAATGGAGAAAGTCTAGGAGCTTAACCACAGTTTTTGCCTTTAGCACAAACAACAGAAAATAAAAGACAACAATCTAATTCTGTAAACTAAAAGATATTGGTTAAGATTACAAGCTTCAAGAACCCAATTAGAATTGATAAAGCATGTCCTGTTTACCAGTATCTTGTAGGATTAGGTGTCTCATATTAATTAAGACATCATCTGAACACACTTAA